TACTCGTATTTCTCCTTTAAAAATTTTAAAACAGGTGTGTTGGTTAATTTTAAGAGACGGTGCATCACTGTCATATCCGAGTGAATACATACTTACTACCCACGATTATGAGAAAGGAGAATTTGCATCATCTCAAAGTGGAGGATATAGCTTGGATTTTAAAATCAACAAAGCCTCACTCAACACCCAAGTGAAAAATATCTCACTTCACTACATATCATAGAAGTATATTAGCTCGCATCACTACAAGGATTGACAAGAGTCTAATCTTTTGAGAAAATTTTAACTAAAGAGCCAAAGTGGAAAAAATGGTTTGAATGGGGTTGATTGACTTTTAATCTTATCACAAAAATGTCAAAGTATGATTAAGTTGGTTACAGTTTGATTAAGAAAATATTTTTGAAATGCATGGACCTAAGTCCAAGTTTATTGTGAAAGCGGTTCAAGTTAGAAAACAAGAAGAGTTTTGAAAAGGAGGAAGGAGATTTTTAAATTAAATAAGATGGGAAGAGATGAAGGGGTTATCCTAAAGCATAAGGTAAGAGCTAAGAGAAAGAATTGTCTAACCAACAAGAAGCCAACACTTGTCATATGAAGTCAAGGTAGAATTCTCATCCTTTAGATTGAAACCAAGCAAGCAAAGATATTAAACCTCTTAAGATAGAATTCTCATCCTTTAGATTGAAACCAAGCAAGCAAAGATATTAAACCTCTTAAGAATACCAAGCTTCAGATGCATTAAGTCTTCACAAAAATTGCACAGAGTAACGGTTGTATACAGAGGAATTCCCAATCACAGACAAAGCATATAATCAGAATAACTTGCATATAAAGAAAATCAACCTAATGTCTTGAGATAAACCCCAAGAACTCCAGACAAAATAACAATCGGAGTCACATGGTCCCAAAGAGTCAAGGCTTCTAATTCTAAGTCTGAGAGGTTCACAATCTCCACAATGCCAAGGATAGTAACCAAATAGTCCGAGTAACTTTAAGGTTTTTTATTGTTCAAGTTGGTTATTAAGTGTCTTAAAAAAAGAAAAGGAAAGCTTAAGTGAGAAAAATAAGAAATGACATAAAGATAAATGCTCAAGTGAGCAAAGATGAAAACAGCATGAAATGTAAATGCTAAAGTAAATGGTGCATAAAGATAAAGGCATAAGGCAAAGTAAAAGCACAAAAATAAAGTCAATTGTTAATGAATTAGATGTTAGAGGTTAGTTGAATGACCATCTTGAAACTTGCATTTGAAAACTCATTAGAAGATTGATAAAATCAAAGCTTCTCAACCATAAGTTTCATTTGTTTTTTGTCATGTATATCATTCATTTCAAGTTCTCGAGGCGACAACATATGATCAACGATGTTTAAATGATTCCTTAGACCAAAGTTTATGAAGGTTCATTAGAGGATTTATAAGACCAAATCCTCCTAACAATGAACCTCAAGGTTATTGGATCAAAGGTTTCAAATTAAACATATATGGGCTTGCAAACATAGGTTTAGGCCAAAAATGATCATTTCTCGAATTGGGACAAAATTTAGTGTTATGTTAAGCAATCGTAAGTGGACTTATGTAGAAGTCGCACATATTTTGAGGTCAATCAATAGCAATCTATGTACCATATGTTTAGAGAAATGATATTTACATCATTCTCCAATAACATGCATCACAAGTAAGAAAGGAATAAGATGAAGAGGGAGGGGAAGTATCAGATGAAATTAGGGTTTCAAATATCATCAACATCATTCATCCATTTTGGTGGATTTATCTTTTCAACCTATCAACACCCAAGATCCAATGAGGTTGAGGAATTTGTCCCAAAATAACCGCGAAATAAATAATAAAATAATATTTAATAAAACAATATTTAAATGGTTAATAAAAGGAAAATAATTGGTAAAATATACAGAGTATATTAAAAAACCAAATAAAAATCCCAAAAAATAGTCAGAAGTTAAACATGAGTTAATAAGTGTTGACAAATTTTCTTGGAATTTTTTAATGTCAGAAACTATTTTTAAAAGTTAAAGAAATATGCAAAATAAACCAAAAAATTGTGAAAAAAATATTAAATAAGAAATAAAATAAAATAAGGTCACCAATATTTGTCAAGAGATCATTGGATCCTTCCATAATTTTTCCAGAATTTTAAAATCAAGAAAAGTATTTTTTAATTAATTAAAAGAAGTCAAATAAATTGAAAAAATCATAAAAAATATCAAATCATAAAATAAAATTGTGAAAAAATAAAAATCAGAAAGAGAAAAATCAAAAGTACTTTTGAGAATTTTTTTCAGAATTTTAGAAGTTGAAATGAATTTTTTATGAATTTTTGAAGTTAAAAACAATTAAATCAAAAAAATCAGAAAATAAAAATAATGTCAAAATAATGTGGACCATCTGATCATAGTCAAAACACATTAGTAAACAGATCCAAAGGATCTGGCGCGTTGTGCTTGATATGGAGCCTTTTGAAAACTACACAGGATCATTATTTATAAAATAAAAAAAAGCAACTTTAAATGTGGCGCGTTGGATGGAGTCTGACTCACTTAAATAATCAGATCCAAGGGCTCATGAAACGCGTGCATGGTAAACATAAACACCAAATCTATTTCAAAAAAATAACGTGGCTAAATGTCATTGGTTGAAGACGGACATGTCATCGTCTTCAACCTCCAGTCAACCTCAAATCGTGATCTTCAAACTGTAAAATTAGCAAGCCAGATCGATACCATTTGAAGCATCTCATGGAGACGAGCTCAATCATGGCCTCGCGAAAAAATTATATAAACTGTGCAACGTTTACTTTGCAAAAAGTAGCGAGCACTGAGTTTTCAAGGTTACATGGTCAATTCTCAACGAAAACGAAAACTGTAAAAAGTATGAGATTCAGAGAGATGAGGAGAGTAGGTTAGGAACTTATTTGAGGCAAAAGGAATGAGTAATCTACCTGAATGAAGTATGAGAGAATACTCTGAAAATGGACTTCTGTAGCACAATTTAGGACTCCTCAAGGCTTGATTCTTGTTGCGTTAGGTTCAGGGAGTTCAAGGATTGAGAATGAACAAAGAAATTGGATTGAGAAGTGGAGAAAAGATGAATTCCAAAACTCAAATAGAGGGTTACAAAGAGAGTTTGGAAGGGTAATTTTGGTTGTCTAAGCTTGAGGAAATGAGTGAGGGATGATCCTTATTTATAGTTGGACATGATGCAAGGCTCAAGCGTGCGAATTGGATGAAAAATCAATGAAATCGTGTGAACCTGCTAAATGGAAAAAGTGTGACTTCATATGGCTCAAAATGCAGAAAATTGAATGGTTTAAGGATCGTTTCTCATTATTTAAAGTCCCTAAACATAATTAGGCATGAAATTGATCCTTACAAAGGCTTGTAAGTGGGTTAAATTGATATTTCAAATCTGACTAAAAATGAAACATCAGCTTCAAGATACAAACTTTACAATCATGGTACTAATAATGTAGAGAGCTTTATGACCTCATTCTTTTTGAAATGGAAAAATTTCCACATAAACTTCACAATGTGCCAAGAAAGGTAGAATTTGGATGCTTGAGCAAAAAGTTATGATCAACTGAAATCGTGAAAAACACACTGAATTGTGGACTTAGAAAATTTTCAAGTTTTGAGTTTAAAAGTGACTTATAATCTCTTGTCTTCAAACATGGCCTTCCACTCAAAATTATGTTTTGGTCAATGAAGATGGCATGAATTAGACTTATTAAAGAGTATTGTGAAACTTGAATCATCCAAAAACTCCAAAAATTAAGAGAGTTATGACCTTGTGAAGTTGATGAAAATCGATGAAGTGACCTATCATCTTTTGAACTCTTAAGGCATCTTCTATCCATTTTCAAGCTTTGAACATAAAAGAAGAGTTGATGTTCAAACCCTTAAGATAATTATGGAAAAAGAATGGGCTCAACGAGATAAAAATTGACCAAGTTATGATCATTTGAAGTTAAACCCTAAAATCCAAAGACCTTTCAAGGAGACTCGTAATCTTTCTCAATCATTAATGGTCTTCCATTCAAAATTAGCCTTAGATTTCTCAAGAAATCTTGTTAAGGACCATTTAAATATAATCATGGATTTGGAGTCACTCAAAAATCTCAAAAAATGAGTAAGATATAGTCCTTGGAAGTCAACAAACCCTAGCTCAGAGAGTGCCAAAATGACTTGAAACCCCTTTCAACTTTTGATAATTTTTCTTGCACAATTGGATCTTTTCATATGAAGAGAGGTTGTTGATGATAATGATAAGATTCCACAGCAAAAAGAACCAACTCAAAATGTTGAAAATTGAGAGAGTTATGCACTTGTGATCATTAAATCAAGCATTTGCTCAATTAGGTCAAACTTGTTGAACCAAACTTTGAATATTTTGATCTTTCTTGACAAAACAAAGCATGATGAATCATAATAGGTCTTGAAATGATATTGTCTTGAAGCACACTTAAAAAGTGGAGCTTAAGTCTCAATGAAGCTTATTGAAGAAGGGATGAAAATAGACACATGAACCTATCTCTTTGGTGAATGTCAACACCAACCTTGAGGAAAGTTTGACCTAAATAAGGCGAGGGAATTATTTGAGCCATAAATCTTTGACATCATGGATACAGCCTTACAACTTGAGCTCTTGCAATCCATTCAAGAGTCATTTGATTGAGAACCAACCCTCAATCCTAGGTTAGATGGTGAGATGATTGCAATTGTATCATCCCCTACAATATGAACATTTAAAGAAACATATATACATATTTTGACGTTAGTTAAAAGAACATATATACAAGATACAAAATTCAAGGTGCTTGGTGATCCCTCAAGAGCAAACTTAAAGATAGGAGATAGTAGAAAGAGAGAACCAACCCTAATGTGTGATCTTGGTGTATTGATGATATGAGATGATGAGAAATCTTAGGGGCAAAACTTAGGGTATAACACTCCCCATATCATAATCTAAATGCCACATGATCGACTTACCCAGTGAGTAAGGTAGGGTCATTGGGCCCTCCATGGAACCCTCCAAATATGTGTAAACACTGGTTTGTATCAGTTTGAGTCGCCACCTCCTTATCAGCTATAACAGGAACCACTATATCAGCTACAATAAGAACCTTCGTATCAACCTGAGAAGGAACTTCGATATCATCCTGAGAAGGAACTTCGATATCATCCTGAGGAGGTACATCTACATCACTAATAATGGCAACATCAAGCTTGGCATCAAGATCTTTGAACCGTCCAGCTCTACCACCTCTACGTTGTAGAATGCAGGGTAATCATGACTTCTCTATCCTCTTGTGGTGAGAGATGAGGGGGGCTACTCTACTTTCCCTAAGATGAAATGTATCTATGTCATCTTTATTGCCTCCACTAGAGCATTATATAGTTGCTTTCTCTGTCTATAGATAAATCTAGAAACAATCTTGTCGTCTCGTTCTCTAGTCCTTCCAATAGAAAAAATAAAAACAAATACAAAAAAAACTACAAAAAAATTTTAAAATCTAGAAATGACTAAATATTTATCATAATTTTTAAAGAAATGTGATATTGTACATACATTTTTGAAATTGTCATTAGTCGTGTATACTTTTTATCGAAAATTTCAAAAATACCTATAAAAGTGCATGTAGGATACCACATTCTCCAAAAATGACGGTAAAAATACATGCAAAAATTTTAGATTTTACTAAACATTCTGAAAATACTGATCAAAAGATATGGTCTTGTGAAAAAATCAGTATAAAAACAAAATTGCAAGTACAAATGTATAAATTTAATAAAAAATGATTACTTGTGAATATCCGGTAAAGACTTCAAAAAATGCGGTAGAAATCTAAGTTTTTCTAAAACCTTCGAAAAATGACAATTTGAATAATGAAAGTTACAATTTTAAGTGCATAAAAGTGTATTACTGTACAATGCAATGGATTCTAGGTAAAATTCTCCTTATATAACTATGTTATTCTACTTATTTATTTTAATTTTAATGATAACAACACATTTCAGAAGTTTACATCTTCAAACTTAAATTACATTTAAAAATTGATGAAGGTTAATATGGTGAATTAAATTTATTAGTCTATTACAGTGAATTAAAAATAAATTATTATTACAAGTTAAACAATTTTTTTTTAATTTAAATAAAAGACTAATATATTACTTTAATTACTTTCTTGTTTTTACATAAAAAACACAAAATATATATAATTAGTTATTGACTCAAATAAATATTTTATTTATAAATTATAAAAATATTAAATTTTGAAAAAATGGATAGTGTATTGACATTGTAAATTATTTTTAAACTGTAAATCAATAATTATCATTTATTCCGCCTAGTCAGACTATAAATTTTAAATTATTTATATGATTTGTCACTTTAAAATATTCTGATCGGATGAATGTTTAATATTTTTTTATATTGATAGTGCATTATCATTAAACTCTAATTTTTAAAAATTAATAAATTATTAATATTAAGGTTATTATCACTTTTGTCCCTATCATATAGATTACTTTTGATTTATCCTTAATAAAACAAAATTTGAAAAAATAACTTTATCATTTCATAATACTAAGATTTTAATCTTTAAAGTCAAAATTCGTAGATTATACGTAGATTTTAATTTTAGAAATAAATTATTAATTTTTTAAAATAGAAATGTTGTTTTTGAAAAATAAAATTTACAGAGATAAATAAAAAATAAATAACCTATATAATAGAGAGATAAAATAATAATAATCCTTAATATTAATAATAGATAATATATATGGTACATTTAGAATATGTTATGATTGGAACATAAAAATTTACGCACACCATCTATGTTCCTAATATATGGCAATGCCTCATGTAATATATGTCAAATTTGGAATGGTTTATGGGTTTATATATATATATATATATATATATATATATATATATATATATATATATATATATATATATATATATATATATATATATATATATATATATATATATATATATATATATATATATATATATATATATATATATATATATATATATATATATATATATATATATATATATATATATATATATAATTAAGGAGTTTTTTATTTAATTATTTCAAAATTTAATATATTATAGCTATTAAAAAAACTTCACTAATATATAACAGAGATTTTAAACCCTCCTTAAATGACAAAATTTTGAAGAAAAAAAAAAGAAAAGAATTAAATGATGATCCCCTCTTTAAAATATACTAAAAATATATCGTGTTAATGCACACTTACATAGATATATATTAACCTTTTATATATATATATATATATATATATATATATATATATATATATATATATATATATATATATATATATATATATATATATATATATATATATATATATATATATATATATATATATATATATATATATATATATATATATATATATATATACTCATTATAAATTAAGAAGTTTTTAATTTAATTATTTCAAAATTTAATATATTATAGTTATTAAAAAAACTTCACTAACATATAACAGAGATTTTAAACCCTCCTTAAATGTCAAAGTTTGTAATTGTGATAATTTATAGGAACTAGTTACAAATATATGTTTTAAGGTATAAATTATAAATATTTATTTTTTACCTATACTTGAAAGGAGGTCACTTATAATGAATCATAGCCATTCAATTCATTTATTACTAAATCAATCGTAAATTTTTAAGTTCACCATTATAGTCCAATAAGTTAATTCATCATATTATCATTCACCTTAGAAACTTCTCCTTTCATTCTTACATTATTTATTATAATTGGCCATTTTACATAGATTAAAAACAATAATAAATTAATGAGAGAATATTGATTTTACTAAACTATCTTAATTAATTATTAGTGTACTCAAATTAATATTAATATTAAATAAAAAACAATTAATTAAGAATATTTATTAGAGAATATAATTGAAAGATTGAATATAAAATTATATTAGTAATCTAAAATGATAATTATTTTAAGATAATTTTTTTCTTTTAAATATAATACTTATTTTGGGACGGAAGAAATATCTTATTTTATCTTTTCATTTGGTAAGATCTCTTAGGGGTGTGCAAATAACCGCTTAAACTAAACGATATTAAAAAAAATCCAATGGTCCAATATTAGAAGTCCAAATTATTTTGTATAAAAATTGTCCCATACTTATTTCATTAAAACAAAAAAAAATATCAAGGCCCACTTTAAAAACCAATTCTTAAATCTAGAGAATTTAATTTATCATCCCCAAAATTAAATTTAACATTTACCATATTTTCATAACCTCAACAATTTCTCTGATAAAAATAAATTCGGAACTAAATTTCTCGTATTATGATGAAAACTTTTAGTATGAACGAAATTTTCGATAGTTCATTTGAAAATTCCGATAAGTTATATTTTTTTTCGAAAATTTCAAAATCAACTATTTTGTACCGAAAACTTAGTTGAAGGTGAAATTTTCAATAGTGTATTGACTCTAAAAAATTTTAATGATCAGGATTTTTTCGAAAGTTTTATAGGATTGTGATTTCACTGACAATTTTATATAGTCTAGAATGAATCTAAAGTTATATAAATAGGGGCGTATGTTATAGAGAAAGACATCTCAAAAAATATATTTTCCTCAATTTCCTATTAAGGCAGAAGTGTATTTCAACGGAGACAATCCTCCTGTTGAATTTAAGTTTCTAGATGACGCTGCATGTCTCACTAATTTGACAGACAAGTTGAATGAATTATTGTCTAATACCGACAATAGAAGGGTGAGAAAGACAGAGTTTTGTGAATATTGGATTGATAGTAATTGAAGGGTTAAATAAATCCTAATTGAGTTGAAAACCGATAAAGATGTGACACCCATGTGAAAATAATTTTGCCGTAGGATAACTAAGGGGCCGATTGAGTTTGATGTGCAGATTTCAAGATCTGACGATGATATAATCAAGATGTTGAAACATCCATAATCATCTAGTAGCACCTAAGTTTTCATGTTTGGTTATTTTTAATTTATGTTTGTTGTATTGTTTTATGTTATGTTCATCTTCGAATCGAAACATGTAATCGCCAAAATTTTGTGCAATAAAAAGTATTGTGATAGTCATCTCTCCAAATGGAAGATAAAAGGAAGTTGTTAGTCAAAATAAAGGCTCCATTATCTTTAATGACAAGAGGAAGAACGACATCTATAAGATTAGACTTTCTGATCATAAAGAACAAAATGTCAAATGCCTCATGTATGTTAATAAAGAGTAATGGGTATGGCATAGACGATTGGGCCATGTTAGCATGCGAAAGATTTATCAGCTAAATAAGTTTGAATTAGTCAGAGGCCTTCCTAAACTGAAATTCTCTTCAGATTCTCTTTACGAAGCATATCAGAAAGGCAAGTTTCCTAAAACTTCTTTCAAATCTAAGAATGTTGTGTCTACCTCTAGGCCTTTGGAACTCTTACACATTGATCTCTTTGGACCACTGAAAACGGCTTCTATCAATGGTAAGAAATATGGATTAGTCATTGTTGAGGACTACAGTAGATGGACATGGGTTAATTTTCTAAGACACGAGGATGATTCACATTCTGTGTTCTCTACCTTCTACTCAGAAGTCAGAAGTGATCATGGTGATGAGATTTAAAATAAGCTTTTTGAAAATCTTTTTTTCTGAAAATGGCATTCCCCTTGATTTTTCCTGCCATAGAACTCCACAGTAAAATGGAGTTATAGAGAGGAAGAATAAAAATTTGTAAGAAAAGTCCATAACCATGATCAATGAGACTAACATGACAAAGTATTTCTTGACTAAGGTAGTTAACACACTGTGTTATTTTAAGAACATGACTTCTATTAGAACAAGCAATTTTCTTTTAGAAAATGATTTTACCAGAGGAAAGGTGGATACTAATATGTTTTGTAAAACATTAAAAAATTAAATTCTAGTAGTTCAAATACATGTTGGTGATATTATATTTAGTTATGCTAATGCTACCTTGTGCAAGGAGTTTGCTAAGTCTATGCAGACCGAATTTGAGATGAGTATGATGGGAGAACCCAAGTTTTTATGGGCATCCATATCAACCAAAGTCCAAAAGAGACTTTTATTCATCAAAGCAAGTAAACCAAAGAACTTCTGAAGAAGTTTGATATGTCAAAATGCAAAACACCCGAGACTCCAATACATCCTACTTGTATTCAAGAGAAGGATGAGGTAAGCAATAAGGTAGATCAGAAATTGTACAGAGGTATGATATGTTTTCTATTATATTTGAATGCTTCTAGACATGACATTTTATTCAGTGTCTTCTTATGTGCTCGCTTCCAATTAGATCCTAGATAATCACACTTAACAATTGTTAAAAGGATTTTTAGGTATCTGAGAGGTACTACTAACCTTGGTTTATGTTATATAAAATCAAGTGAATACAAGTTAGTAGGTCATTGTGATGTTGATTATGGTGGACATAGACTGGAGAGGTAAAGCACTTCTAGAAGTTGTCAGTTTCTGGGAGATAACTTGATCTCATGGTCTAGCAAGATACAATCAACAACTGTATTATCA